TTTAATGACAAAGAGATTGTGGTTCCAAAATGTAGCAATTTCATCAGCGTCGCTTCAAACTGGTTTCTTTTAGGTTTTTATACAGTTTTTGCGAGGTAACTATCTAAAGTTTACTTTGCAATTATATTTTTTTTAAAATGTCAGTTACTCGTTGAAAATAATGTGCATGCTCTTCTGTATCAGTCATTGTAAAAATATACATGTAATAGACTGTTTGGTAGTTAAATTCTGTCAAAAAAACTGAACCTAAGTTATACTTCTTCTTCATAAATAAATCTCGTCAAACTCAACAATCATGCCTTGATCTCTATTTCCTCTTATAAATCAGATTTTTTGAATCAGTAATCGTGAAATGAGCCAGATTTGGTACTTTTACTTCTAACCACTGTCGTTTTCAATTCTGGCATACAAAAAGGAAAAAGCCACAAAAACTAGGTTAAACAAAGCTTGCTGAATGTTAATCATAATAAATTCTTAAAAATTTCTTACTTCTGAATTTTATACAACTAATGTTTTGTTGGGGTGTCTTAAAAATAAGTTTTATATGCATTTTTATATCCATTACTTGTTCTTGAATTAAATTTTCGTTTCAGCAATATTTGGTCGTCACTCTTGTGCTGGTGAAATTTTCCAAAATTTTATCATAACCTGTCGTTGCGTTAAAATTTGACAAAACATATGGTTATAGAAAAAGTTGACTTAAACGAAATTTTTGAACAATTTGTGTAACTTTGTTTCGGGTTTTTTCAAAATATTTTTCTAAATTTGCTTTTTAAATTTGGAAGCTGCTAGAGTTGGTTCACCACCAACTTTTACGATAGCTCTGTCTTTCTCCAACTGCAAACTCTTGAAACTATCTAATAAGAGCAGAATAAAAGTTGGTAAAAATGCATACTTTGGTAAAAAAAAAGCAGAAAAATTACCGTAAAAGTGATTTTTACAAAAACTAGAACACTTGACATTATTTGCTTGAATTATCGCAGAGGTTATGAGGTAGCTCATTCATCAAAAAAATTTTATTCTTCAAATCATTAATCATAATTTTGTTGACCATTATACTACGAAGCATTCGTGACATTTTTTGAGAAATTTCTTAGTAGAGAATTTGAAAAATATCAGTAACCAATATAGAATTTTCTTGGAATTAGTTTGCAGATTTTATCTAAAGTTGACTTTCAAAAATTGTTGATAATACTGTCATATTTTAAAAGTTATTGATCAAAAACGTTTTACTGCTTAATAGAAAAAAGTTGATGATTCATTTTTTGTAATCAGACAGAGTTTAGTATACAAAAAAATTAAAGGTGCTAAGGAAAAGGTCAATTGTGATAGAAACTGCAAAAAGTTTAACGATAGAATTTTTTCATCAATGTGTTTAACAAAAATTTGGCTTTTGCTTCGCTTAAAGCCAACTCTGTCGCATCACCTCTGCAAATTCATGTGAAAAAAATTTGTTTGAATATCACGTCTTATTCTACTGTAAAAATCATTTCCTAGAATAATCAATTTCTAATTTTTAGTATTTCTGGTTAGACACGAAATATTTTATATATCCAATATTCTAATCTAGTAAAAAAAAAATTAATCTGGTAAAGTCACATTGACGTTGTGATGGGAAGTGAATTGCGGTATATTTTCGAGCATGTCAAGAAAGGTGACACGAGTCGCGCATATGAAGTGCTCAGTCATGGAAGCAGAGAAAAGATAAGAAGTAGAGTTCATGCAGAAGATGCTGAGAAAGTATCTTTCTTTTCTCACTGTACTTTTTTTTTGTTTTAGAATCTTTACGCTTTATCGTTACTGTTCGTCTTTCCATTTCAGGAAACTATACTGCATCATGCTTGCCGATCTGGAGACATTAAGCTTATGGCATACCTAATAAAGCATGGTGCTGATGTTAACGCTGAAAATTACAAACAAGTAATCTCATTGTTTTTTTATGTATCTTACAAGCAACCTTATCAGAAAAATTAAAAACTATTTCTTCTTGATCCTCTCTCAGAACAAGTTTTTTTGATACATCTGAAGCTTTTTTAGACATAAAATTGACCGCCTGTTAAATAAAACCAATATTTCTGTATACATGCTCTGATAAGTTAAAGAGCCAATAAAAAAAGTTGCTTGAGCGATACTCAGATTTTCAAAAGAGTTGAATTTTTCAA